ATCATTATGTTATGGTACAACTTTACAACTTGAAGTTGTACCATCACATAAAAGTACAAGTTCAAGTTGTACCATAAAAGAATTTGTACAAAAAGTATAGGTACAATCTGAAGTTGTACCATAACGTAAATGTACAATTTTAAGGTGTACCATAAAGGCAAAATCTTATAGCACCAATACTATAGCATTGTAAAATTTCTCCAATAACTCGAGTTGTTAGGAGAAGGTTATGTTGGATTTTATACAGGCCCATGTATGGTACTTAACCACTTCCTTACACGGCCACACAAACGAAAGCCGACTCATGGGCTTGAAGTTTGCACAGGCCCGCCATACCATGTGCTTGAAAGACAACAGTTAATATTGGGGGTCATGAGGACTTGAACGCGTGACCTCATACACAAGCCAACTCTGATACCATATCAAGATCCAGTTAGTTCCAATAACTCGAGTTGTTGGGAGAAAGTTATGTTGGATTTTATACAGACCCATGTATGGTACGCGACGACTTCCTTACAAAATATTTTACACTGATGTCTAGTTCAAGCCAGGGGCGGAGGGAGAGGGTGGGTCCGCGGAGGGAGAGGGTGGGTAGGCAGGGTGGGTCTCGGGACGCACCCTGCCTCGGGAGGAAAAAATGGTAAATTATTTATAATAGTTAATCGGGTATGAAAAATATATAACACGTATGTAAACGAGAATGGTTGACCATTCAAATATTGGATGTATGATTTATAAGTTGTGTAATGGCATATTCAATATTTTTATAAAGAATTACGTACAAATGACGATAATGCATATGATCCGGCCAAAATTAAATGTTTACTTATTCAATATGTACATCAAAGTTTGACCAAATTATTGCTCATTTGTAAAAATAATTTATAGCAATCATGGGCAGGGAGAGTGGAACGGGTGGCCTTTACGTACGAGAATGAGTAAATTAGTATAATAGTTAATTGAGAATGAAATTTAGGGCACTTATTCTAACCGAGAATGATTGATCGGGAGATTGATATTAAACGGTCTTGACAAAGAACACCATTCAAAGATAAATGTTTAACTAAATCATGAATAATTATTTGATACATATAGAGTGATATTTTTATATAGTTTCGACATTATTTAATTTACCAAATTTTTGTAAATAAAAAAAATTATATAATGAATGATTTAAAAAGCTAACAAAACTATTTATCGTATGTATTTTTTTCTTCTATATGGACTCACCCTCAAGAAAAATCGAAGCTACGCGCCCCTGGCTCAAACTGCCATATTTTATTGCTATTGTTGAAGCCCCCACTCAAGTAAATTCGGTCTTCAACGCGTCCTTTGAGTCACACACGGGTATCTTCCAGTTAATTAGTCACCACGCAAGGAATATTCTGAATGAATCTGAATGTTTTCTGGACGAGCCCCAAAACCGCTATCAGGGCATCGTTTCAGTAATTTGACAACTATTTCCGACGTCGTCTTCACAACTTTGCCTCATTCTCGATTCTGATTTTCCTAGAAGTCGAGTCTTGACGTCCCCCAACACGTATAATGAATTGGTCCATCAGAATACTATATATGTTGTCATAAACTAGTTGGTCTCAATAACTCGAGTTGTTGGTAAAAGGTTATGATGGATCTTATACATGCTCAATGTATGGTACTTAACCACTTCCTTACATGTGCCCTCAAACCACACTGAAATACTAAAACCCATTTTGAGTGACTGCATGAAGTGAATTCAACATATATAATATCTCACATGCAGTACCAACTCTACATCACTAACCAGTTGATTGAAAATGTTTACCTAGTGCACTACATATTCCAATCCTTTTTCTACGTATGTTGATCAATAACTCGAAGATGAAACACTACAAACTACCGTTATCCTCTTAGGAGAGAGAGAGAGAGAGAGAGAGAGAGAGAGAGAGAGAGAGTGTAGGAGTTGATCTTCAATCTCAATCTTAAAATCCCAACGACAATGAAGCCCCTCCCAAGTGGTCCCACTTATCGACCTCTCTAGAAACGTCAGAAATCAAATCCCTCCAATTAAATAAAATATTAAATACACCCCCTTTTTTTTTCTTACTTCTTATTACTGAACTGATAATCAAATCCGAGCAAAACACCGCCGATCGCAACCGCTTTGGACGCTCGGCTCTGGGCTCGGCTCGGCCCGGCCCAACAACCGTGCTCGCAGGCCGCAGCACTCGTGTGCGTTGGGGCCCACAAGGGAACATGTTAGCTTCGTCCAAGTCCCCTATTATTGTTGCAGGCTGAGCTGAGGGTTACACGTGAACTGGGTGGCCGTATGCGCACTTGGCGGCCTCCAATTGGTGGATTGGCTGCTGGGACAGGTGGCTACCCATATCGGAACAGTGCGACTGTCTGTGTCCTGTGTGAAGGTAGGGAGCTGGAAGGATTTGTATAGCTATGGACCATTGATCATTGTTGAAGATGAAAGAGCTTCCTCTCCTTTCCTCCTTTTGCGCGTTTTTATTTCAACCTGCAATTGTAATACAACTATAAACTATTCGTTAAATAATATTTTTTTCTTCTTCTATGTCTGACTGCATCCACATATAAGATTAACTTTACCGTGGATCATTTTACATGATCAGGTAAAGATAAATACAATTTAATATTCAAACCTTTCATTTTAAATAATATAATAGCCAAACCTTTTCGAAACCAATATAATATCCAAATTGCCAACTTTTCGTTCGTTTGACCGTTAGTTGACACTTCAAAAAAGTTCGAAGTACGACGCTTCATTGATATCTTCTCTGAAAAACCACCAACATATCATGGTTCCAAACCCGAGAAGTCCATGACTCCAGCATAATGGTATAGAATATCTAAATATCTAGTCATCTGCAATGCCAAAACAAGAAAACAAAGTTGTATTGTGACAATTTCCCCTAAACGAAGCTTTTTTGAAGTGTCAACTAACGGTCAAATGGACGAAAAGTTGGCAATTTGGAAATTAGATTGTTTTCGAAAAGATTTGGCAATTATATTGTTTAAAATGAAAGGTTTGGATATTAAATTGTATTTACCCATTACGTAATGGATAGTTTGGAATAATCAAATTGAAAAACAAGATAATTGGCTCTTCCCTCTAGTCTGTTCTGATATGCTTAAATGGCTGATTAGCAGGGTTCGAAGTGGGGGATGTGGTGCTGTTGAAGCCTCTATTTGGTCATGGATTTTCTGCTTTCTTTGGAAGGAGATATGCAGAAGAGTTTTTGGAGAATGTCTTAGAGAAGAGATTAGCTTGTATAGCCATGTTAATATTGAGTTTCAGTATTTGGTTAGAAGATCCAAATACTGCTGTCTAGTTTAGAGGGTTATACACTTGTTTAGTCTCGGACTATTTGTGGCTTTTTTTTAGCCTCTGTATTTTCGAACCGTTGAGAGTTGTTGCCAACAGGGAGTGCTTACTATGCGTATGCTAATTACCGGGGGAAAATATGATTCAACCATTTTAATTTTATAGCTAAAAGCAAACCGATTAAATTAGATTTTGATTAGCGGTTTTTTTCTAGTGGACCGCACACCGTAACCGTTTTAATGGTTTGGCCAACTAATAATAAAATCTTTATGGAAGTATGCAGCAGCAGATGCATGAAACTAGCGCGTGTGGTCCATAAAACATTAAAACAAGCACCGGCCCAGAGGAACTGAACCAGCCTGAATAATCCGGTAAACGCACTGCTTCAGATGGGTCGGCAAAATCTGGACCAGCCCAACCCCACCACAGTAGGACCACGGCCCAGCTTAGATGGGCCCCCACCAATCCCATTTCCCATATTCTCTCTGACTCCCTCTCATCTTCTCGCTAATTAATTTCTTCTTTACTCGAAACAAGAAAAGAGGAAAAAAAAAAGAGAACTCATTTCTTGCTTTCCAGAGTGCCATTCTCAACAGCTTACACATCATATAATATTGATTTCTTACACTTGGGATAATTGGCTATCCTGATTCCTGACCTCATCATGATCATCTAATATATATGGCGATGCGTTCACACCTATTATTTGTATTTGGATAATTTCGACAAGTCATAATCGTTGGTTTTATTTTGAGATTAAATAAATTTTATGATTTCAATTAAATAATTAAAGACTGAGGTTCACTCATTAGAGGTTAGAGTATAGTATTACGCCACAAACTTTGACTGCCAACATGAACCCCACATATATATATAGGGTTAATGACACATTTGGTCACTGTGATTACTAAATTGTCCCATGTTTAGTCACTAAAAAAAGTTAATATCAAATTTGGTCACTCTAATTACTAAAACAGGTCATGTTTAGTCACTCTCCGTTAGTTTCCGTCCAACTCTGTTAATGTTGACCGTTATGTGCTGACGTGGCTAACAGGAGTGCCTAGTCAGCGCCGTTTTGACCCAAAAATGATCAAACCCAACCTGCCACGTCACTAATCCCGCCATGTCATACACCCAAACCCCACCCATAACCAAACCCTAGCACACCTAACAAAACAAAATTGAAAAGTTCAATTTTCTGACCAAAAACCTATCTCCTTCCTCTCGAAGCTCTGCTCTTTCCTCTAGGTACAACCATTTTCGATTGAACTCCAGGGAGAGATGAAGAGCTCCATGCTACCCCCCTTGATCCCCTTGTCCCGGATCCTTCTTCGAAGTAGCATTGTTTTCTTCTTCTTCATCGCGGGCCGCCGTTAGTTTCCCCCATCGCAGTAGACAACAAAACCCTCAAATCCACCTTCGTTAGCTTCCCCCATCGCGCGCCGGCTGTAGTGGACAAAACCCTAAATCGATTCCCCCATCGCGGCTCGTCGTCATCGTAAGACCTCAAGTCGGACAGTTTAGGCGTCAATGGTTGTTGCTGAAGCGGCGGCGACGAATCCTGCTTTACGGCTCTGGCGAAGATTCCACCATTACAGCCCTCTTTTCCTCAATTTTAGGCTTGACATTGTTGTTGGCAGCGTCAAGATGGAGATTCTTGTGGATAGCGATGGAGATTCCACCATTACAAACCTTCTCCTCAATTCCAAATCCTGGTCACAAGAATTTCAACCAAATCAAAAGGAGAAAAAAGAAGGGGCTTACTCTGAACTTGAAGCTTTCCTTGAAGAGACATAAACTAAGAGGATATCAAGGAGAGGGAGGATTGGAGTTGTGGTTGGGCTTCGAGCTAGCCGCAGTGAGCTTCGCCGTGGTGGCCTTGGGAGTATTCTGCGTGGTTATGCAATGGAGGGCATGGCTGTCTTCTGATGTTGCGGTTGTGGTACTAGTACCGAGATTGGAGGAAGAAGATGTACGACAATGCAAGACTGGGCTGGAGAAGGAGCGAGACTTGAGACGGAGAGTGGTCGGGTTGCTTCCGGACGATGTGGTCGCCGGAGGACGGTGGTTGGAGTTATGGGATGGCAGGTAGGTATGTTAGTGGTGGTGACGGGCTTGGGTTTGGTTATGGGTTGGGTTGGGTTAATGGGTTGGGTTAGATGTATGACATGGCTGGTTTAGTGATGTGGCGGGTCGGGTTTGACCATTTCCGGGTCAAAATGACGCTGACTAGGCACTCCCGTTAGCCACGTCAGCACATAACGGTCAACATTAACAGAGTTGGACGGAAACTAACGGAGAGTGACTAAACATGACCTGTTTTAGTAATTAGAGTGACCAAATTTGATATTAACTTTTTTTAGTGACTAAACATGGGACAATTTAGTAATCACAGTGACCAAATTTGTCATTAACCCTATCTATCTATATATATATATAGATAGATAGTGTATAGTATTACGCCACAAACTTTGGCGGCTACTTCGGTGCACTCACTTTTTTGGGTGCATTCTGTGCACTCACCTCTAAAAGTGGTCATAATACATTAAATTTTGAAATTTAATGGGTTGTATTAGTCTAATATGATGATATAACATAGAATCCCAACTAATCAACCCATTACCCTAACCTATTAACCTTCAATTTTGAATCTCAACCCAAAATCCCAAATTGTAAACCCTAACCCTAACCCTAAATTCCTAAACCTCGAATCATTCAAATTAAAGTGAATCTTGAATGATTTTTGTACAAATTCACGTGGTTCTTGTTCATCATACCACAGGTGATGATTGACATCGTTTTCACATGAATTGCCTGCTCAGAATGACGATTATGAGGCGGGTGCATTTAATGCACCCAAAAAAGTGAGTGCACCGAAGACATAACCATATATATATATATATATATATATATATATATATAGATAGAGTATAGTATTACGCCACAAACTTTGACTGTCAACATGAACCCCACATATATATATATATATATATGGTTCAGGCTAGCGTACACCTGACGTACACTGTATGCCTATGTTCACACTTGTTATTATCTTTAGTTAATTATAATTTAAACAATAATTGACAAAATAAAATTGCGATAAAATCTATGGATTTAATTTTCGATACAATTTAGTCCCAAATATTCTTTACCATCGTAAGAATGTGGGCTTTGCTATTTTGGCTTCAAGTTTGTTCAAAGTGGGCCAATAAACCCATTACACTCAAATTATCAAAGCTTAATTAGCAAGACTAGTTTCATCGTCTTCTTCACAGTTGAAGCAACAAGTTCTGAAACCTAGAGAGTAGAGAGAGAAACTTTCATTTATGAAATACAGAGCATGAAATTAAACAAAATTGACGTCATGTATCCATCCTCAATCTTCTCTGTTCTCGTTCCTTTAGGACTCGAGAGTCCAAAACCTCAAATACTTAAACTCCAAATCCAAGCCATTCCTCATTTTCATCCTTCCGACGAGAACTAAATCCAACATGCGCGATTCTGCAGCAAGGAATATAGGATTCAGATAAGAGTCTGCAGCTGCGCCCACCATTACACAGGAATTTCGTCAAGAAAGAGACGTCGTTGGTTCAAAGCATTCTCGGCAGCCTCTACCTCACGCTGCCAATTAGTGAACACTTTGGCAAAGGCGGGTTTCGGGTCTCTAGTCAGAAAGTACAATCGATTGTTGCTGCATGGATGTTCACAGCAGGATTGTGAATAGAAAGGCAGCGGTGAAAGAGGTTTTCTGGGCGATTAGAGGCGGAGGATCAGGGAGCTTTGGGATTGTATCGTAGAAGGTGAAACTAGTCCAACATTCTCATGAATTGAAATTCTTTATTGTTTCCCCATCGTACAGGTAGTCACATATCATACCCATCTATTTGGCGCAAACCCACCTCCGGCGACCACCACAAACAGGACGAGCAAGACGAGGAGAGTGGCGGCACCCCAACGTCAAAATGAACAATTAGCACCAGAATGTGCTTTCTTATAGTTAAGATCATCGGCGGCGACTGGCGGCCGAGGAGGATTGTCAGTCGTGGGAAAGCCTGGTGTACGTCGACTTCTTCTTGTTTTTGGGGCAATAGTGGAGAGTTCGGCTGGAGATTTAGGTGGACTACAACTTAAACAATAATTAGTTAATGAATGTGGTTGTAATGCGAATTATTATTAATAACTAATGTACTAATAATTAAAGTTAAATATTTAAATAATTAATTTTCTAGTGTGAACACAGACGTATAAGGTACGACAGGTGTACGCTAGCCTTTGCCATATATATATATATATATATATTACAGAAAGAAGAACTTGATCCAGTAGTAATACTATTAACGTTGAACCTGAATAAATCAAATTTAAATCTTTTAATCAGTAACTAACCACACAAGACATAAACTTATATTACCTTTAAAAAAACCAGATTTAAACAGATTTCCTAAGTTGACATATTCAGAGATTGAGGGAGAAGACTGAAGAGATATATATATAATTCTGACTCGTAGCCTGTTATCATTAAATAAACAATAGGCGCGTACGGGAGGTGGCGGGTCCATGCATTGGTTTGATTTGGGTGGTTGCTAGGTTTTGGAAACTAAAACTAGTAGATCTCCCTTCCTCCTTCCTATCCTACGAAGGGTTGAGGGTTTCTCTTCGTTTCTATTTTGTTTTTTTGGTTTGCCATGGCTTCTTTGGACGGTTGCGGGGACATGCATGAACACAAGAAATGAGACATATTTTTTTGTCGCATTACATTCAATGAGCCAGATAATAGCTATCACCTGCCTGGCTTGGCTTACCCTCTCTTTCGTACTTGCTCAAAAGGACCCAGAGCCCATATATATATACATCAAGTTTGGGGTTAGTAGGGCCAGGCCCCTTATCCCTTTCAAATGAAGGGTCATTTCCCCTTAATTATCACAGTTCTTATCCAAATAGAATATTTCCTCCATCTTTTTTGAGCATTTTCTTGCTGGGGTTGTACGTGTTCTGTAGGTTAAATCCTAGAAATTTTCAAGCTGGCTGGCTGGCTTCTGAGCTCTGAGCTCTGAGCTCATGATATATATTGACGTCTGCTCGTGCATGCAAACCAGGGCTGGAACCGGGCCTGTGCCAACAGGTCCATTGGTACAGTACCTCAATAGATTTGGGGCCTAAGCCCATCAACTTATAGTGAGTTAATTGCATGCCTTACTTGTATGCAATCATTCATGAGTATGCTCTCTATTAGGAATATGATAATTTAAACTGTTTTGTCGGGTATTATCCGACTTGATCCGTACTAAAATGAGAATTACTTGATTCGAAAGTAATTTGTATTTCTATTATTTTCAAGCAAAGTTTCGCTCAATGAAATTTTAAAACAGGTGCAAGACTTGACCTTTTAATTATTTGGACTCTATTATAACTAATTTTTATTTATGAAGTGGTTTTTTTTTGTTTTATCATAAAATAGTTACTTTTTGCAATTATTCTTTTCAAATAATATGTGAGAATGAGTCTGCCCAACCCACCCCGTACTCGTACATGTATTATCCGACCTGATCTGCACTTAATACGAAATGAAAATAGGTATTGAGATGCTCGCCCCACCCCCTTCTGCCATCCCCACTAGTACTCTTTGTATATGAATGCTCTGCAAGGGTTGTGATTGGTTACTATTATGGCGCTAGCGATGTATATGCTCGTAAGGAAGTCACAAATATACTGGGTAGTTATCATAAAAGGTCACACAACTTGTCACTAGTACAAAACGGTCACTAAGCTTTATTTTTGCACGTTTCGGTAAAACATCTTTGGACGAATACCAAAATGGTCATTCCGTCCAATTCCATCCAAAAAATAGTCGATTAAGTCCAGTCAGCTTGAGACGTCACTCCAAAAAGAAAAAAAATGGACACATTAAACCAACTTAACCAGCCGACCCAACCCATGTTCGCCCACCCAACCTAGCTGAAGACAAAATGGCTGCTATATTAGTAATCAACATATATCAGACGGTGGCGACGCAGCAACGCAACAATGGCTGCTATACATAAAAAATCAAAGCTCCACAACTCTCGATTCTCTATACGCTGCTTCAACCGAGTGACCCACCACTCCCACCCCCACCCCAATCTGCTTCTCGTTGTTCTCCTTGCCTCCATTCGCTGTCGCTTCTCGTTCGCCACCGCTTGGATTTTCGTTCCAATTGGAGATATGGGGTTTAAATTTGGTTTGCATCTCTCTTCCCTTCAAGCGGATTTGTACTTTTGTAGTAATGTGCTCCGTTGCCGGCAGTAAATGGGACGACGAAGACGACAAGTGTTCCTCAATTGGGGATAAAGGCAAAATTGGGTTCATCGATTACCAGGAAGACAAATCCGTTTGCAATTACGACCCAACAGGGGATGGTCTCGTCGCGATCTCCTTCCCGTTCCGCGTGCAGGACGAGAAGCCTCAGTAGATTTCCGTGGGAGAAACGGTCGCCGCTCCCATCACCATTAGGAACTCCACCGACGAAGCCGTCGAGATGTGGGCCAAAACCTACGCCTCTACTACCGTGGATTCCTTCCAACTCTTTAGATGAAGTCGTCTGCCTCCAGCGGAAAAACTACTGCTAACGCCACCGGTGGGGCCGGTTGGGGTTGGGTGGGCGGGTTAAGTTGGTCTGATGTGTCCATTTATTTTTTATTCTGTGGGGTGATGTGTCAAGCTAACTGGACTTAATTGATGGTTTTTTGGATAGAATTGGACGGAATGATCATTTTGGTATTCAATCAAAGATGTTTTCCCAAAATGTGTAAAAATGAAGTTTAGTGACCGTTTTGTACTAAGTGACAAGTTGTGTGGCCTTTAATGATAATAACTACCCCAAACATACTTTGTATTTGTGTTGCGGATCGATCGTGTGCATATATATATATATATTGTTATGGAATTGTCACGCATATACCAGTTTTCTTGCAACACAACACAAGTCACATAGAAATCAAAGTCAACGAAAAGTCAAGGAGAAGACTCATGCATATATCTGTTTTCAAAACTTACATAAACATTGTCCGAGTCAATAAAATACACTATTTCTTTTTAAGGAGTTTAGTTCCCCTTTATCGTACCCAATGTTATAGATTATTCCTCCTAGGATAGAAAGAACGTACCTTTTCTGGCGTATTGGTACTTAAAACCCCAAAACCAACGAATGCAACAAACGATGAGAAGTCACATGACTCTGTTTTATTTTATGTGTTTGTAGAGAGGAAATGCAATGAAGAATAAAAACTCTTTTTCTTTCTTTCGGCCAAAAAATCTATTGGAAAAACTCTCATTTGAAAATTGAGGGTGCTATATATATTTATAGAAAATGAAAGGGGTGTGTGTGAAGGGACGTGACTCTTCAGGCGGATGGTTACATCCCAACTATTGCAATGGTTGATTAAAAAATTCTCAATCATTGCATCAGTTCAGGCAGTTGAACGGTTGGTTCACTCCAACCGCTGCATTGATCCAGTTTAGTTCAAATTGATTTGATTCGGTTGGTTAAACAACCAATTTAAACGATTATCAAATACACTCGATAGAGCGGGAGTAATTGGATGAACGACGCCCTAGAGGATACACACTCACAGGATCTCATCCTTTGCGTCGTCATTTGAACCACTAATTACAATGCATCAACACCCAAATCATAACCATGGAAGTTTAAGTTTAGTGGATCTATTTATTAAAATTTACACACAATGACCGATTTATTAGTGGTTCCAAATCTTGTTAATTGACTGTTTATGCTATCTCATAATATATTTATCGTTCAACAATTTTTAATTTTATCTAGAATATTAATATTTTTTATTGATTGGTTAATATTGGCCTACAGATAGTCTTAACATACAAATGCTATGTTAATGACAAGTGCTAATCTTTATTGGAGATACTTTATGTCCAAGCAACTAGACAAATCTATCAATACCAATGAGACACTAAATAATCCTTGAGGATTGACAAATATTTCAAAGAAAAAATAGAAATAGTCACCAACACTTTTTTACCCCAAAATTTAGTAATCAGTGAGATCAGTACGGACTGTGCGTGCAATCAACGGAAAATTTCAATTTTCTCGGTCAAAATTTCTCATTCCGTACAAAAGAAAAGTGCACGTTCTTTTAGTGTGTTCTCTTTTTTCCCATGAGATCGACAAAAATTTCGCTTCAATTTCCTTCACGTTTTAAATTATGATAGATTTCTAACTTGTAAAAAAATTCCAGTCCTTTGGCTTGAAGAAATTTGCACGGATTTTTTTTTTTGACATTTTCAATTCACGTCCTTTAATTTATCCCCAAATGATTCGGGAAAAACAAAAAGTTAAGAAAAACGTTGTTCATTTTTTTTTATCTTCAAGATCTTCTGATTTACTTCCTGGATAATTGGGGAGATTATATGGAAACAAAGAAACAACTGCTTCTAAATTTTAACTATTCCCCGATCCCTCAGCACAAGCACGTGGTTCGCGTGTAATCAAATCTTTGTCTCTCTAGACAACACGAAAATCGGATTGAAATATCGCATTATCCTTTTCAGTACCTGAATTTGTCCACTTTGATAAACTTGAGACCAAAGAGTTTGCTTCTTTATTTTCCTTCCCCTTAGCTAAAAAGAGTCGCAACGACAAGTTTGAAAATATACACAAGAAATGCCAATGATAAAAATGTTTAGACAATAGTTTTTTTTTTATCATGAACGTGGACGTTATACCTAGAGTTTGGTCGACTAGACAATTCATATTTCAAAATCATCAATTTATTATAATAATAATTATTATTATATGCTATTAAAACAATGGCTGTTTGTATTGCCGTTACAAAAATATACTAGATATTCACTATATACAATTGAAATTCGCGGATTGAACTTATCAAATCTACAAATATCGTGATATTTTATATAGACAGACAACTGCACTAGAACTATGGGTTAGCTAGAAAGAACTAACTTTTAAATCCTCAATTCTATATAGAAACATGCATAAGACATAAGATAGGGTGATTTAATTGTATACTAACGAATTATATGACTAAATTGTCAAATGATGCAAATTTTTGAGCGCAAGTTCGTTTTTGTCAAAAAATGAAAAATTATGAGACTAACACATCATTTTACCCGCTGTTCTTTACTTCTTTTCAACACAACACTATTTTTAAGACCTTTTTCCTCACGAGTCGTCCGGAAGAGAAGACAATTATGCAACAAGGAAAATGCCATTAATGACTGGATCATTACTTAAAAAAAGCCGTCTCATGGACACCAACTTCTCTCCATTCTTAATTCTCTCAAACACAACAAGCAAATATTAAGAGTCGCAAAGAGCAATAGAGAGATAGATAGAGATTGTTTGATCAGAAACCTTCTGAATTTCACTTTTTGTTGGTGTCCTTGTGTTGGATTTTCGACTAAAGTGAGGATAGTGAACAAATTCGCTTTGAGCATAAGAAGTTGTGATCTTTCTGATAAAATTTTTTTTTTTCCACAGAATAATCTGGAAGCAAATGCTTGTTTCTTTCCTCAATTTTGGAGTGAGAAAAAAACTCCCAATTTCGTTGTTTTTCATTTTTGTTGAGGGATGAGAGGAGCAAATCATGAAGATAAAATGATAAGCCCTTTGTTCCCAAGGCTTCATGTGAGTGAAACAGAGAAGGAAGTAGGGCCAAGGGCTCCTCCGAGAAACAAAATGGCTGCTTATGAGCAACTAAGTACTACTCCTTCTTCTTCTTCTTCTTCTTCTCGAAGATTTAGTAACCCATCCATGGCGTTGCCTCTTCCACCGAATAATTTCACAAACTTGTTGCCTCCTTCAGTTTCCTCAACCCATGTGAGTACATTGAATTTCTAATATTTTTCAACAATATTTGGTATCATCGTTGAATTTGTTTGATACATACTCACTCCTAATAAATCAATTCCAACATTTTTGTTACCTCCATGAACTTACCTTGGCCAGTTTTGAATCTATCACATAAAATATGAATACTATGCATGAACGTAAGGATGAAGAGAACAAAATGCTAATATTGATTTATTAGGATGATTGTCTCGATTTCCAATTTAGTATCTAGTTTTTTTTTATACACGCTAATATTTGCATGCATGCATTGATGCGTGTCTGTTATTTCAGTGTAAACATATTGTTTCATCTTACTTCTTTGTAATCATAATTTCCTTAATCACGAGAATGTTAGCCTAATATAATCTTAGTGTTTGATGAAGCAACATGTTCATTTCAGGTTGGTGTTGGTGCTGAGAGAAACATCTTCGTGCCATTCTCTCGTATATCTGGACCATCTCATTTGACCGAAAATAAGCCTTTTATTAATTTCTCATCATCTAGTCCAATGAACTCACTCACATTGCCACAAATTGAAAAATGTAGTACAAACACATTTCAGCCCCAACCATGTAGTTTCCCCACCTTCAACACCAACTTGTCATGGTCCACTAATGATAAGCTTCGAGACCATCATCAAGTTGTTAATTTTGGAGTTCCATGTTCTGCACCTCAATCGAATCCTCTCCAATGTAGTACTAGTGTACGCATCATCAAGAAGACAGCCAAAACCTCAAGCAGTTTCTTCCCATCAATGCAACATCAAATTGGACACCATGGTTTGACGAGCAGGCACAAAGAAGTTGAGACTATTGTGGACCTTAATGCTCGAATCCAAGCCGATCGTGATATTGCGAGGCTTTCGCAAGCCTTGTTAGATCCTGTCATTGAGAGATGCGCCTCAGCATCATCTATTAGAACATCTGATTCATCTCCAGACCCTGTGAAGCTAGAAGATCATGTATCACCACATCATTTGTGTAGAGGTGGCAGAGAATGTGACTTTCTACAAGAGAGTGTCGGCTCGATAGAAAACAACAACACTTTAGTTGAAAATACTCGAGGTGTTGAAAAGCTTGATGGTGTCTCGGAAACATCTGGAACGAAGTCTCATTCAAGTTCTTCAGTTATAACTCCTAACCATGTTAAGAATGTTGTGGGAGAGATGCAATTTTGGAAAGCAAGAAAGGTCATTATCAAGTAAGTACATTGATTACAATTGTTTCCAATTATTTTTAAGGTACTGAATATATAAATTAAAATTTTGGGATCATTTGGGTTTTTGTGATGCTTTAGGACATTTCAGCCCCTCAAACCCTTCAGCATTAGAAAACCAGTAAAAGAAGCAGCTACTTATGACCAGTAATGTTCTATTGCATCATTCAACTAACATGGGTGGTAGCTTTTGATCCAAGTTTTAGCTTCTTTATCCCTTTTGAAACTGGTAAATTTTAGAACCTCACATTTACCATGCACCTTTTCCCTCTTCCAACCCTCCTATTTTGCTTGCACTTTTAATTACTATTCCTAAGTGTTCATTAGATTTGAGTTGTAAATTCTATATCACCACTGCATCTAAGGTGTTTCTAACCCAATCATTGTCAATTTACATATACTACATGTTCTGTGCATGATCCTAAATGGTTTCTTCTTTTGTAGTCAACAAAGAACTTTTGTGGTGCAAGTTTTCGAGTTGCATCGTCTAGTTCAGGTAAACAAACTCGACCCCTTGACTATATTTGATAATATTTTATTCTCTTGCGAGCTTTCCAAAAGAGGGTATTTGTTCACGCTACATTGTTTCTTGTGTCAAAAGGTACAAAAATTGATTGCTAGATCATCACATCTACTGCTTCAGCGAAATTCATTCACTGATGAAAACATGATAGAACCAAGAAAGAAGATGCAACCTAGGTGTGTTGCACAAAAACCAATAGACGGTATAATTTTTGATCAGACTGGTGATCTTAGTGCCTTCCCCAAGCTGCATCGGCTAGATTATGAGGATGTTTTGCGCAAATCACCATCTACTACTATTGCTACTACAAAAAATATGAAACCACCACCACTAACTACTACCAACTGCTTACAAGCTGGAAATCAGTGGTTAGTTCCAGTCATGTCCCCTTCTGAAGGGCTTGTCTACAAGCCTTACTCTGGGCCAAGTTGTCCTCCAACTTCTTCATTCACTATGGCATCCCCATACTACGGAGCAGAACCATATGACGTTGCTCAACATAGAGAAATATTCACAACCATAAACAATCATGCGGCATTAAGCCAACATGCCTACTTTCCACCATTTGGCCGCCATTTACCCACTCCACTTTTGCCAAAGGAAAATCACATTTCATCAGTTAGAGAAGTCAACAAAAGCACTTCAATATGGAATTGTCCTGAAAACCGTCAAGTGTCAAAGGAAGGACGTACAACTACTCGTGCGATTGAGAAAGATAGATGGGATCATGATGATGCCCTACCACTTTTCCCCCTTGAACCTATGGTGCAGGTGGTGATGTCTGATAAGAAATGTCAGATTAATGAGCAACGAACTCGAGTGATTAAAGTTGTGCCTCATAATCCTATATCGGCTAGTGAGTCTGCTGCTCGAATCTTTCGATTTATACAAGAGGAAAGGAAACAAAATTATAGTTAGTCTTTTGTAGGATAAATAAAAAAAAAAAGGAATGAAATGCTAGGAGATAGAGTCACATCACTATGCATACATAAAACTATATTTGTATGTCTGGATACTGTGACAAATAGAAGAAAATGAGTAGTTGTGACAAGGTAGTTCAAAATAGATTTTAGTTGGTTTTGGGTATGGTACTTTAGCTTCGTTAATTTAATGTTTTGAATTTCGATTAGTGATATCCCACTAAAGACAGTTTGAGTAAACTGCCACAAAAAGGCATTTGGAGGTAGTTCAAAATGGATTTCGCTTTGGTTTTTGTATAATATTTTAGCTTTGATTAGCTTAATGTTATGAATCCTGATTTGTGATATCCCATTAAAGACAATGTAAGTAATATGAACATAAAAAAATTGGGTATTCGGAGAATCAACTCCCACGGCCTTCAATGGCTGTTTGAGGATGATCAAATGATTCTAGAAAAAAAAAAAAAACACACTACACATTTTCACTGGGAATTGTGTAAACTATGTTTTAAGCAATATTAAAAATTGTTGTCATTTGTTTATTTTAAACAACTAGTGATTTTTACTCTAAAAATTCGAATTCATTAAATAACACCTAATTAAAACAAGGTTAAATACACTTGTATATCCAAAACTTTCACGGTTGTGCCAATAATATCCAAATTTTCCGAAATACTACTTATATCTAATTACTTCACATTCTTTAACGGTGTTTTTGGATATACAAGTGTATTTAACCAAAACTATATTGGAAAATGGATAGATTTGGCAAAGAACAACTTTAAAACATGGATATAAGTGGTATTTTGGGAAATTTGGATATTATTAGCACAACCGTGAGAGAGGTTTTCATTTGCACATGTCTTGAACACTAGAATACATGTGCTTCACAAATGGGATCACCAGGATTCGAACACAAAACCTCTCGGTCACAAAAGGCTCTAATACCATGTCAAGAACCAGTTGGTCCCAATAACTCGAGTTGTTGAGAGAAGGTTATCCTGGATCTTATACCACACTCTTACATTCTCCGTCAAATGAAAGCCAATCCATGGGCTTTAAGTTTGCACAGGCGATCACCATACCTTATGCTTTAAATTAACTGTTAATATTGGGCGTCGTGGAGATTCGAACACACGACCACTTGACCAAACCAGCTCTAATACCATGTCAAGAACCAGTTGGTCCCAATATTGTTGGGAAAAGAGGTTCAATCATGGATCACAGTGGCGGGGCCACGTTGAGCTCAGGGTGGGTTATAGCCCCCCCTCAAATTTAAAAAATAGGTAAATTTACATGGAAAATGTGTAACAAATTCTAAAAATAGACTTGTTGGTAAGCCACTAGCCACCCTCACCAATGACCATGGTTCAAACCACTCAAGTGTATATTTTTTACCCCCCCTCGTTCAAATTTCTGGCTCTGCCACTGGTGGATAATCATATAAATGATAAATGTATTGCAGGTAAGATTAATCTAGTGCACCCTATATAGTCTAGCCGAGCACCCATTTCACCCAATCTTCGGAGAAAGAGAAGGGGCATGGTTGGTGTGTCACTGGGTCGGTGAGGGAACCCGTAGGAAGGCGGGGACGACCCTCCGAATTCACATCAGAAATCGCCAACATGAACACAAATGAAATCTTTAATTGCGTATAGAAACAAAACGAACCACTTCTATTCTCGGACTCTGACAGCTTAGGGAAGAATGACGGGCCGCTAACAAGGCCTCTAAATGACCGCTCAGAAAAGGCCTACCTATTTTTTTCCCAATCCGTCGCTTGCTCGTCCCTCTCTCATGAAAATAATCTCTCCTCTCTCGGCGTCTTTGACTCATGTATATAGCCAGTTGCTAAGACAATTCCCATTCAATCTCATTCAACGATCTATCAATGCTGCCCTTATTCTTTCTTTTTATTATTTAAAATTCCTTTCTTTCTACTAATTCTTACATAAGCAATTTGCAGGAAGTAAACAAATCTTTCCGAACAACTATAAATAGCTTTAGCATCTTTTTTTTTAGTTGAAAGGGTCTTTATAGAGCTAAGGGGAAGGTTTGGAACCTAGTAGCAGAATGGAATAAGTTTACCGGGCTGACTTTCATGCCAACACGAGTAGTTTAACTCATCACTACCTCGTAAGGGCATTGAGAATTTTTTTGCTATAAACTTTTGAAAAAGTCTTCAAATAGCCTTTGCATAGTTTACGAATTCTGCTTAGTAGGGACCTAAACACAGGAAAGGTTTTTATCAAAGTCAGACCACGCCTTTTGACGGGAGAAAGGACTGATCACCTGTCGATCTGTGATCAACGAAAACGAATCCAATGGAATGGGATAGAGATTGACAAGCACAAAAGCTATATCTCATATCTATTAATTAATCTACGCTCATTGATGAGACGTCGACATAGAGAGAAGAAAGTATACCCTTTGACACCCCCCTTCTCACTTAAAAGTAAAGAAGATACAAAGGAATAAATATTTAGTGGGATTGAGGATGGAATCAAATAGCGAATGCACTTGCGGTTAAGACAGGTCCTGCATCTCCTACCTAATGCAATTGACCAACCTGTCATCTCTTTCCTTCATTAATGCCTTCGCTTCACTTCAAGACGTTATTTACCAATAAGAATAGGAAACCTTTTTGAATGGAAGAAGGCGAAGGGGTTTTCGAGCGCTGCGGCAATGAGCCGTAAGAAAGATGAGCAGAGCATTCCTTCCGCCGGCCTTGTTAGGAGTAGGGGAGCGTGGTGAGATAGATAGACGTCCAATCCTGCAGCAGCTAGTTGCTCGGCCTTAGTCTTGGGCTGATCTCACACTTCAATCAACCCCTTCGTACTTCGATCCAATCAATCGATCAAGAGGCTAATATCTTTTGTTTGGGCCGGTAGCTAAAAGAAAGTCCTCGCTTTCTCTTGAACAAGGGGCATAGCTTTAGCTTCAATTGAACAAGCTCAACCTTGAAAAAGAAAGGTGGCGAAGAACCGTTGAACGCTTCAACTCGGCCACTGAAGAAGGCGAAGGCTGGGCGAGAGACTAGGCCAACTTACTGCCATGGTTGAAGCTTTAGGCTCCATAGACGGAATTATGTATTAGGTATTAGGGAGGAGAGGACACCACTCAGCACCTAAGGTGGGGTTCAATGCCTAACAAAAACGGCCAAAATCAAAATAAAGAGAGAAAAAGAGATGTATGGCTGAGGGGAGGAGAGAAAGAACGCATGCATGGAGATTCTGTCTGTCGGAGATTCGAGATGAAAGGACATCGTTGGCTAAGGAAGAATTAAAGGAAGTCCATTACTGAGAGAAATGGTGATCTCGTCTTGCTTGCTGGGAGAGAGGAAGCTTCCGGACCACCTTTTCCAGCCAGATAGCGAGCGATCACTCAGCAATGAACACTAACTGAAAGCGGCCGGGAATGAGTACCTATCCCTTACGGGAATCGAACCCGTGTCTTCGACATGAAAAGACGATGTCCTAACCACTGGACGAAAGGGACCAAAAGATATGATTGCCAAGCCTGAGATTGAGTTAAGTCCTGAGATGAAAGAACTTTTGAAGCAAGGTGAAGAATTTACCCCTCAGCAAAAGAAAGTTCAAACACCATCGATTGAACATGATCCTTTGTCTCCTCGAGTTCCAGAGTATGAACACAGATTGACAGAATTAGAACAGAGATTTGCTCATGAGCCAGAAATAAAAGAACATCTCACCAGAAATATTGAGCTTTCCAAAAAGGATACACTTTCATTCTCTCCTCCCAAGGGCAGGTTCTTACGCCTTACTCACCCGTCCGCCACTGGAAAGACCACTTCCCGTCCTCTTTGCCTACTTACCGGCCTAAGCCACTACCCCCACCTTCCTTTCATCTTTGCCCACTTATCGGCCTAACCCACTACCCAGTACAGTCCCAGTCACGAAGACGCAGTCCCGTCCTCCTGTTCTAATTTCTATCTGACTTTTTGCGTTTAAACGGGATTTTAGTAGTCTATTTCCCCTCGTAGATGAGATTGGAGATCTTACTTTTTGATCATATGTGACAATTTTTATAAAAAGAATACAAACAGGTAGGTGTCTGCGACCCTGTCTTAGGCCCCTGCCAGGTGTGAACGATTCTGTAGTTTCCCCATTCCATAGAACTGAAAGCCTTGTGGTAGTGATACATTCGATTATAAAGAAAATCAAATTCTGAGGTAGGTAAACTTCCTTAGCAGTTTTATTATCCATTTCGGGTTGTGATCGCATTTTCCGTGACTGGCACTTAGATACTGAAATTAGCTTCTACTCCTCCTCCTTCTCAGTACGAGATAAATAGAAAGCAACAATCTAAAGCATTGGTTCCGCCCCTTGGAATGCCTCTTTCTCACAGGCCGGATTGAGGAGTCTTTCATAAGTTGACTCCCGTCCCTCAAAAAAACGTTCTCTACGGAAACACCAGGGGCTTCCCGCCTATGAATATACTTTCACACTTCCTTATATCTATTTATGTTCTATTTGAACTTTCGTGGCTGGTGAGCCTCACTTTATAGATAGAAATCCCCTCGCGTTTACCTTCTTTCTTTCCTCCCGTATCCTACTCTCGCCCATAATGGTCCCCAATGTCATGATCTGGCCGGGTCGACCCAATCATGAGAGTCCGTTTCTCCCGTATGAGCGTATCGAACAGAAGACCTGCTCCGCTCTCGAGGCAAGGTAGATTAGCCCATAAAGGTAAGCACGAACATGAATGTAACTCGCATTATTTCTGATCCTCCTTTCGGGATATAAGAACGCGAGCGGTGGGCGGTTCTCACTGAAGGAAGTTTTACCGAACATCATGTCCAGGTGTGGTCCCCCCCCTACTCCTAGAAAGAGCTAGCCACGGAGCTTGGATACGGGCTGCCTAGGTATTCAAGGTACATCACAAACAAGAGCTAAGTCTAGTCCGTGTCTAGCCAAGCTCTAGCCGGGATAGACATTCACGAGTACGAGAAGGAACTACCACTCATTAGTACAAGCC